TGGAACGCTGTCCCTCAAATGAAAACATCGGGGGATAATACGGAACTCCTGGGCAGACTGGAAGTAGGTACTCAACACCCATGCATCACGTGCATGTCATATATGTACAGCGTCTGCTGTGTGTGCGGCACATGATGGCGCTCGATAGATGGAGCTCGCACTGCTGCTGCTGTTGGAAGGCATCTGTCTTGTCACCCACTCTGGATTTCTAGAACTTCAGCTTGGGGACAAGGTGGTCTTCCCTGAAGTGAGCAGTGTCTTTGCTTCTCTGACACCTGAGGGAAAGCTCACGGGGGAGCCAGCATTTTTGAGGCCTCTCTATGTCCAGTAGGCTGGGCCCCTTTCACCACCTCTGATACGTACCCATCGTATTCAGAGGAGTGTGGTCCCTGGAGCTCCCAGGTATGCATCGACCTGTGCCCTGTGCACATGTGGCACTCCAAACTTCAAATTACTTGTGGGATTAGCCGGTCCCTGGAATAACTAAGGTGTCAGGGGCCCCACGGAGTCCACGGTGCGAATTGAGGATTCCTTAGGCTGCTGGGGAAAACCCACCTTCGGGATTTCTGGGCCTGAGGCCAGGATGCCAGATCCTCTTCATGAAGAGTCTGGGGCTGGGACACTAGCATCTAGCCGGCACAGCTGGAAGGAAGGGAGAGGAACACCACCAGAGGCTCAAGTCCCCACACGATTTAGGAGGAAAAAGAAGAAAGAGGGTTTCCCAGGTAAGGCAGGAGTATGCCAGGGGTCGTTCTCTGGCACAGCGTCTGGCCGGGGCCCAGGGAGGAACTGAGAATTGTGTGTGGGACCAGGAGACTCGGAAGTGGCCACTGGGCAGGAAGCAGATGGGGAGAGCTGGGCTGGGGCGGGGGCAGAGGTGGGGTGGTGCCTCCTGCAGGCCGTTTCCCTCCTCACCCAGCCTCTGCTCCCAGAAACCTTCCAGCTGCCACTGGTCCTAGGCAGCTGCTGCTGGGGAAGAGAGGAGCTGCTGGGCTCCCAGTGCCCTCCAGGGACCCCGTGAGCCAAGTCCCCTCCCTGTCCTTGCTGCTCTGTCCCCACACAAGCCCTGAGGGAGGCTGGCAGGGCTTCCATCCCACTCCACAGGTGAGGAAGAGAGGCTCAGAGGAAAAGCGGCCTCCCTCTGGGTCAGGGGACGTGAGGCAGGTGGACCTGCATGCAGCCCTGTCTTACAGATCCCACTCTGCGACTAACGCTTTCTGTTTCTCTCACCCTCCTCTCAGAAATGCTGAGATTTTTTCTGAGTACAAAATAACTCGTACCCATCATATTCAGAGAAAATTTGCCCTGCCCCTATGGATTTTGCTGTCTTTTCTTTCCAGTCACTTTTCATTTTTTATTTTATTTTTTTGAGATGGAGTCTCTCTGTCACCAAGGCTGGAGTGCAATGGCATGATCCCTGCTCACTGCAACCTCTGCCTACAGGTTCAAACGATTCTCCCACCTCAGCCTCCCAAGTGGCTGGGATTACAGGTATGCGCCGCCATGCCCTGCTAACTTTTTTTTCTTTTTTTGTAGTTTTAGTAGAGATGGGGTTTCACCATGTTAACTAGGCTGGTCTTAAACTCCTGACCTCAAGTGATCCCCCTGCCTCAACCTCCCAAAGTGCTGGGATTACAGGTGTGAGGCACTGCACCTGGCCTCCGGTCACTTTTTATCCACATGATTGTTTACCTAATTGAGATCATAACAGCATGTACAAGTTTGACTTTGCCCTTTTATCATTGTGCTATAGTAATATAAGCATGGAGAAAATTACAAATAGGACTGTAAGGTCTAACATTAATTCCATTATGTGAAAAGCATGACTTACTTAAGCATTCGTTGGTGGAGAGCTGTATTGTTTCCTATTTTCACTCACAAATATTGCTGTGATAAATACCTTTATTGAGAGATCCTGGCCTCTAGGCTCACTGATTCTTTAAAACATTTCCTGGAGGGACAATGGCTGAGGTGAGGGATAGGCAGGTTTTTTGAATTTTTCCTTTTTCTAGGCAAATTCCCGTCCGGAAAGGCTGCCTGAGAGTGTATGGGGCTCTTTTTACAGCTCCGCGTTGCCTCCTGCTTCTCATCTGCCTGCTGGCTCCAGAACAGATAGAGATGAGACCACGAGCCAAATTGGGTCCCTTGGACAAACCGAGGCTTCCTGCCTACAGGAGCTGGCCACAGAGCCCAAAGCTTCCCCTCCTCCCCTTGCTCTCCCTGGCTGCCTCCCACCTCCCCGCTTCTCTCCCTCCTCTCATGGGGCTGCAAGTGCCAGGCCTCTTTGTTTGCTTTCATTCTGAATCCTTTCCAAAACCTGACACAGCCCTACTAACTGCTGAATATTTCTCGGTGGACAACGAGGAATTCAGATCTCCCTTTCACACACACACACACACACACACACACACACACCCCTCACACCCATTGGTGTGGGCAGCCACCTTTACCAAGGACTGCTCCCTGCCTGCAGAGGTCAGCACTCAAGAGTCCTTGACAACCCTCAGAGCTGGGATGCCCTGGGAAGCAATTGTTCAGCCTTCTCATGAAGCACATGGGAAAACTGAGGCCTAGGGAGGCAAAGAGACTTGCTCCAGCTTGATTGAATATCCATCTCCCAGGCAGGTGTAGTTCCACTAGCTCTGATCTCAGAGTACAGAATCTTCCCAGCTGTACAGTTCATTTCAATTAAACAAATATACTCAGCAACTTTTCATGACAGGCACTGAGGCTTCCATGGAGGCAGCTCTGAAGGGGGCCAAATCCCATGTATCATTCATGCCCAGAGGATGCTATTCATGGATAGAAACCTCTGTGTGCATAGACTTATCTTGTGGGAATGGACACTGTGGCTTCCCTAGCATCTGCTTGTCGCTTTGGAATCTGGTTTGTCACACTGAATGTAATGTTTGCTTTTCTTCATTTTCTGGAGGGGGTGAGAGATGCACTAGGAGGAACAGGAGATAAGCTGGTGGGGAAGTTCATGGTGGGGCTCACAGGGAGTTGGCTTGCACTGAGCAACCAGGAACATCCTCCTGTGCTGTACTAAAGGATGTGGTGAGGGGAACAGCATTGCACAGGAAATACCTTGAGACCTATGGTTGCGTAATGGGGGAAGTTTCTCCTGGGTTAGACTAATGATTCCCTCCTGGGCACAGTTTTGCACCACCCCCCTCCAACTCCCCCCCACCCCCACACCTTTCTCCTGGAAGCATGTGGCAGTGTCTAGAAACATTTTGGTTGTTACAACTCAGAGTAGAAGGTGCCATTGGCAGCTGATCAGTGAAGGTCAGAGATTCTGCTGAACATCCTACAATGCACAGGACAGCCCTCACACCAAAAGATTATCCAGCACAAAATGTCAATCGTAAAGAGTCTGAGAAACCCTGAGTTCCATTTAGGGTGGGAGCTGCACTGCCTGACAACACATCTGACATAAGCCTCCCGCATGACTGAAGAGAGAGGGTGTTGGACAGACGGTGAGACCGGCCAGAGAACACGCAGAGCTAACTGAGATCATAACAGTGTCTACAAGTTTGACCCTGCCCTTTTAATTTATCATTATGCTATAGTAATATTAGCACAGAGAAAATTACAAACAGGACTGTAAGTTCTGTCTGGTATTGGAGGGACAGGGTCTTTTGCAAAGCTGTGCACCAAAAGAGAAAAGCAACTGTCTCATGAGAGAACGCAGGACTAGGGCATGGGACCCAACTCCAGCTCCACCCTTCAACCCAAGGAGCAAATTTATCTTCTGAGTTCCAGTTACTTCATCTGTAAAACCTGAATGATGATATCTTCTCCATGAGCTGTTTCAAGGAATATGGCACAGGGTGGATTCTCACTAATATTAATATTAATCACTCATCTCGCATCATCCACCCACTCTTATACACGCTCACAGAGCCGTTGTCATTAAGAAGGGGCTACAGAAATATTATCTATGAGTATTTTGAATTTAGAGTCAGGGAAATTGCAGGCAAGAGACTAGATATCCTCTACACAAAGGCCTATAGGTCTTCCTATAAGCCAGCTTCTTGCACAGAACTCAAGAATGGACTCAGGGAGTCAGAAGATAACACAAGAATAAAATGCTAACATAAAAGGACGAAGAGAAAACATTCTTAGTCTCTCACGGTTAGGAATTTCACAAACATCCTAATAACATGGGATCAGAAGTTAATGCTGTATACTATCTGATAACTGTAGTTAGAGTGTGGTTATTAATATGGCATTAACTAGTTGGTAAGCTGCACTGTGTTGTCTCATGATGTGAGTTCAGTCACACAAACAAATCCATTTGTTGGCTTCATAAATTTCCCAGCTATAGGATCTCCCCATATATTACAATAAATCCATATTTCAAATAGGCAGACCCATTGCTGGCAATGCTCAAGCCCGTGTCACTAGACTGAAGGAGTAACCCTCTTTATGGTTGACCATTAACTAGGCTTGTTTCTGTATGAATATGGCTGAACAAATTTGCACAATTTCCTCCCATGTGTAATCAAAGTTTAAAGAAACTTCATCATTTCTTAGGTCTAGGAATTGCAGCTGCTTGGGAATTTTCCTCTCTGAGAATCTAAGAAAGCCCAGATCAAATGAAATTGCTATGGATTTGCATTCAAGAGAAATAATTCATAGCATTTCCTAGCACTTAATCACAATACAGAGGAAAAGCTCTCCTTGGGCCAGGGGCATGCCCTGCTGGGTTCAAGTCTTATCTCTATCACCAGCTTGCTCAGAAGACTTGGACGGGTCACTTCTCCTCCCTAGGACTCTATCACCTTTGTGGACACTGAGAGGGTACAGCAACATCAGAAAAAATCCTCAAGCACAGCTGGACATTTGAGGCCCTCACCTACTACAGGTCCAGCTCTGACCTTCTGTCTTCTAAGACACCCCCTCCTGTCTCTTTCCAACATTTTTCTCTTGCACAGATATGTTCTATTATGCAGTGGGAACTTGACCATATATTAGATGCCTAGAACTCTTCCCCAAAAGCCTGATGTGCCACTCAGTACTTTGCTGATGGCAGAGGGGATACCACATGGAAAAAGCCAATGAGACCTCCCCTGTGATGGGGTTCATCCTCCTGGGCCTCTCTGCCCATCCAAAGCTGGAGAGGACATTCTTCGTGCTCATCCTGCTGATGTACCTGGTGATCCTGCTGGGCAATGGGGTCCTCATCCTGGTGACTATCCTTGACTCCCGCCTGCACACGCCCATGTACTTCTTCCTGGGGAACCTCTCCTTCCTAGACATCTGCTACACAACCTCCTCGGTCCCACTGGTTCTGGACAGCTTCCTGACCTCCAGAAAAACCATCTCCTTCTCAGCCTGTGCTGTGCAGATGGCACTCTCCTATGCCATGGCAGGAACAGAGTGCCTGCTCCTGAGCATGATGGCGTTTGATCGCTATGTGGCCATCTGCAACCCCCTTAGGTACCCTGTGATCATGAACAAGGCTGCCTATGTGCCCATGGCTGCCAGCTCCTGGGTAGCTGGAAGCACTGCCTCCATGGTGCAGACATCCCTCGCAATGAGGCTGCCCTTCTGTGGAGACAACATCATCAACCACTTCACCTGTGAGATTCTGGCTGTCCTGAAGTTGGCCTGTGTTGATATCTCTGTCAATGTGATCAGTATGGGAGTGACCAATGTGATCTTCCTGGGGGTCCCAGTTCTGTTCATCTCTTTCTCCTATGTCTTCATCC